ACCCCTAGTTTCAAAAGGATATAATTGGCAATTAATTATTTTATTTTATTGTATTTTAGTTATTTGTGTGTGCTCAAGTGTTTTTAATTAATTGTTTAAAGGTTTTTAAATTTCAATTTTGACTATTTGCTTGATTGTTTAGATGTTTAATTGTTTTAATTGAATTGTTGTTTTAATTGAATTATATGCTTAGGTGGCATTTAAATGTGTAATTAAATGTGTTATTTTATTTATTTATCTTTAAAACGAGGTTGGGCTTGGATAGGATTAACGAACTGTTTGAATAATGTAAATGGGTACAGTTTTTACCCATGGAAGTATATACATGTATATATGGGTATATATTTATATAGGGTAGTTTTAATTATTGGTATTTATTAATAATTAAATTGGGATTGTTTATCATAATTTAATATATGTTATAATTTTAGGGTTACGTGTATTTTCTCATGTTTTTCGCCGACTTGGATTATAACTTTTTTGGGTATTCTTTTCTTTCTAGGATTAAAATTAGCATTAGGGTTTTAGTTTTCTAAACCTATAAATATATCATTAGACATCGGCTTAGGGCTAGGAAGCAATAAAACTTCATTCGCAAACACTCGTTCACAAACAGAGAGTTATAGAGAAAAAGCAGAGAGGGAGATTGTAAGGAAAACAGAGGGTTGTGCCATCAGGGTTTGGCTGCGGATTAAAGGATGGAACTAGGAGAAGGAAAGGTGGAGCAATAGGAGATTGACAGTGAATTGGACGTCATTGGAAAATCTAAGAAGACGGCGACAAGGTTTTTATTCAAAAACCATAGAGGCAAGTTTTTTCCTTCCTCTTTCCCGTTGGCTCATGTTCTGTGCACCTAGATAGTCTCTAGGATTTAATTAATCAATAACTAGAAGTTACATGTTTAATAAATGCTATATGGATGATCTATTTTTGTTGAAATCCAATCTGTTACAGTTCATGCACGTCTCGTGTCAGTTTTCTATTCTTTAAGCATGTTATTTATGTTGTAACTTTAGCCTTTGTAATTGATTTCAACTACTGTAAACGAACCATGGGAATGTTACTAGGGTGTTATAGGACTCTTGAGATGAGTTTTAGAAACCAATAGAGTGGTAGGAATGGTCCAGAGACGGAGCAGACGGACTGAAACGAAGCAGCAGGAGGCCGAAAGCTCTCGAAAGGGGTGAGAGCCGGCTCCATAGAAGTGGGAGCCGGCTCCCACACATGTAGAGTCGGCTCTAAGGGTATTGGAGCAGGCTTTAGGCTGATTAGAGCCTGCTCCCAAAGTTTTGGAGCAGGCTCAACCTTAAAACTCCTTCCAGATGTGTTTTTTGACGCACTGTTTTGAATGGTGCGAGGTTTGAACTGTTCTGAAAATTTTGGGACTTCACAGAGGGATAAAAGGGTTTATTTTGGGTGTTATTAAGATCTTAGATTAATCATGGTTGGCCTTTGAGTCAGTGGGACGAAAAGTATTAAATTGATAAACTTTCTATACTGTTAACGGATGAAAGACGGATTAATTGCTTAATTAAACTTTAGCAATTTAATGGCATTTAGGATGGTTATAAAATCTATTTTTAGATGTATAATAGGGTCATGTATCGATTAGACCTTGTCTTTGCATAGGTTGGATCTTAATTAAGGAACTAGTAAATTCAGTTTCATTAATTAAATGGTGATTGATATTTTAGTTGTTAAACTGTTCTGTCTGTTTTAGCAACTATGGATTAGAGCTGTGGATTTTCTGATTTATATTTTATCTTGTCTCAGATGTGTAAATTGAAACTTTTCTATTGTTGAGATGGTTATCTACTGGACTGTAATAGGGGTTGATTGAACTTTAAGTTAGATGAACTAAAGTATCAATGACAGGGATGGTTTCTGGATTTTAACTTGATGAAACATTAAACTTTGTCTCGTTAATTACATAAATGGAATCTGGGTGTTTAGTTGATGAAATTGTTTAAATTCTGTATTTATCAACTATATGGATTATATGGATTTATTTGATGTACTGCTTAAACTGTTGCATCATTTACGGATCATATGCATGATATGTACCGGTATAGGACGGTGACATACGAAGGGACGGATTATATCAAAACGCTAATTCCAAGCCAATCATACATATGGAATTGATTAACTAAAATAGTTAAATCCTACATGGATGCATGTCCTGTCAACTAAAACAGTTGAACGACATAACGGATGGTTGTTTATATTTTCTGTTAGTAGAATGGATAGGGATTTAATTAAAACATTTAAATCCTGATTTTATGTCATGTCATGGCAACAAACTGTTGAGCAGCACTACATTGGTTTGGATGGCAATTTATATATATAAATCATGGTACCGCGATCTGAGCTTGAGTCTCATAATTGACGGTTAGGGAGCGTATATGCAATAGGATGCATAGCTAGCTATGTTGGTTGAGGTATACCATGTTGCCTTCTATTCAGGTTGAGACCCTCAGCATAGCCTAATGAGAGTCATGTAGTGTGGATATATGTATTTATCTATTTACGGACTATACAGCTATAGTTGAGACATCTAGGATGTATCTGCGTATCGGGTCTCTATTTGGATTGTAGTTTGGATAAAACTTGTTCGTGGGCCTGACCCACTATTATTTTTCAGGTGTCGGATAGTTACAGGCTTTAGTGCTTGTTCATGCTGAGCAGAGACGGTCACTTACTCATCCGACAACGTAGGAGTTTCTTCGGGTTTTAGCATTGGAGTTTTTTAGTTGTTGATTTCAGTGTTGGAGTAATTAGGGGTTCACCAGATGGATTCCCAAGTTGTATTGGAAATGGAGAATTTGGATGTATCAGAATAATTCTTTATTAATAAAAATTTTATTCTGAGGTTTCGGTATTTGGGTTATCATTCTAGTTTCTTTTCAGCAATTTATTTATTCCTGTTTTCTTAATTATATTCTGTGTTCATTTATTGCTAATTAGTTTGATATCCTCGGGTAATCGGGCATGGGCCTGGCCAACCCGTATCTGGAAATCTGGGGGTATCATAGTTGGTATCAGAGCACTCCAAGTTCTAGTGTCCTTAGGAGTGTTTTCGTCAGAAGATTTCCGCGTTGCATCTCTTAAAAACTTAGAGCCATATTAGGATTCGTTGTACTCTTGTTACGGTTCGTTAGGAGGAGCTAATGTCAATTGAATTTTCTAAATACATAGTGGTTGACACGAGGAGGAGGATAGGGTTCAAGGCGAAAACGATACGGACCCAAAGGAGTAACGGAAGGTTTAGTTCCAAGGTTGGCATTACTTAGAAAGTATACGCCAAGAAAGGATCAGGGTGTAGGTGTTAGGTCGCCGCATGTCGGGGCCAACACAATTTCAGTTGTTCTTAAATATGAGACAAGCGAAGAATATGAGTCTGAAGAGGATCCTAAGGGAGGAAATTTTCACGTATCTAAGAAAAGGGGATATAGAAGTTTGAGGATGAAGGATCGCACAAGTGTGCTTTCATTCACCAGCAGTATAGTGAATGGTACTAATGGAGTTGGTGTGAATCAATTTACATATAGTAAAGTTTCGTATCGTCTCTCCGGGAGTTATTTGACAAGTACTCTTCTGGAGGGTCGGAATTAATGGAATTCTTATCAGAATGAAGACATGATTTTATATCACATTCCGGAGTGTATGGGGATTAGGTTAAGTTGCTTTGTAAAGCCACGTTAGATGGTTTGCATTCCGTATATAAGGAGTATGATGGTTAAGACTTTGGATATTTGCTTAGGCAAACGGTTGTGCAGTTAAGCTATGTTTAGCGGATAGGTTTCAAGGTTGGACGACTACCAACGAAACTATGGAATGAACTTTTGTGACCTAATTTGTGAACTTGAGTTCAAAGGAAGTTTTCTTCTCGGGAATGGAGGATGTCTTACGTAGAATTATATTTTGGTTGTTTTGTGTATTGTGTGTACCTACATGTTTCATCTTTGATTGTTATGTGTTTCGGTTTTGTTATTACGTGTTTTATTTTTGTTAATTAGTCCAGATTTGGAGTATGGATTGGTTGGGGACACAAGTATGTAATTAGCCAACTATTATTTTGATGACATGGGTAATAGCGTTATGTACGCTAGGATTTGTGAATGTATGGTCATAGGATTGGGTAGAAATACAAACTTCTAGCCAATCTATTGGACCTGGATATACATCAATATGGTATGCTATTTAGGATGGGATAGTTAAACTATCAACACGAGTCAAATAATCTAAAATGATTAGTTTGATATGCTATATGCTAGGTAAGGATTCGTTTTTACAACGCTATAATAATGGTGATTGTTAATGCTTTGGGGGATTTGTGAGGATGTGGTAGGTAAAGATCACTGTAATACCATTATGGTTCGGATGAAGGATTTCGTGCTGGTAGGTACTTATTAGTATGACGCCGAGGGAGGATAGTGGACTGATGAAAGCTTTATTAGTCTATTCATGATCTAGACATTTTGTTACGAAGGTGTCATTTGGAAGAGTTGCTGGTGTTGCACTTGGAGGAGGAACCAAATGTTCTACATTGTATAAACACTACAACAGTTCTAGCTTTTACCAGCGCTCAAAAGCATTGGTAAAAGTCTAAAAAGCGCTGGTAAATCCAGTGTCGGTAGGCCTTTACCAACACTTTTGAAAAAGCGCTGGTAAATCCAGTGTCGGTAAGCCTTTACCAGCGCTTTTCCGGAAACGCTGGTAAAGTCCTTTTACCAGCGCTTTTCCAAAAGGCGTTGGCATAGAGTATTTACCAGCGCTTTCTGGAAAAGCGCTGGTAAAAAGACTTTACCAGCGCTTTCTACAGAAGCGCTGGTATAGTGTATTTACCAGCACTTTTTGCTAAAGCGCTGGTAAAGGATAATTTTAATTTTTTTTCCTCCCCCCTTATGCCAGCGCTTTTTAAAAAAGCGCTGGTAAAGGGGTTTTTTTTATTTTATTTATATATATATATATATATTTTTAATAGTTTTTGGAAAATAATTTATATATATATATTTTTATAGTTTTTGGGAAAAAATATCAGTACAACTATTGCAACTACCAACTACTAAATGTCATCCAATATAACACAAGTTAATATAAAAATACCATCCAAATTGTTTTTACATAATACAACCACAAAGTTAACCATGCCAATATGAAAATTACCATCGAAATTGCCTACTAATACAACCACAAGTTAAGCTGATAAATGTCAACCAAAAAGCAAAAATTTATACTAATACAACCACAAGTTAACCTGCCAATATACCATCCAAATTGTCTAAATAAAGCTACTAAATGTCAAGACAAAAATAATTAAGAATTTTTGACAAATGTAGTACAAGTTTTTCAAAAAGAACCCATCCAAGGCGAAAGAAATTCAGAAAGCACAGCCACGACCCCATCTTCAACTTCAATAAGTCTTGTTGCCCATTTGATTTGAATTACCTACATTTCTTATAAATTCATGACGCACACATTATAATAAATGAAAATTTTACATATATATAAGAGAAATTAAAAGTTCATAACCTTAACTGAATTGGCATCACGACTGTAAAATGAATTTGGGGATACTTTAGGAGGAGCATTTAAAGAATCAGAACCCTTCAAAATAAGAAAGCAAAATACATGAAATCTTGGCATAAGTAAACATATATTTAGTAAAGAGTAAAACTAATAATAAATATACCTGTCCACTATAATTTTGTTGTTGCATCTGCATTAGCATAGCCACCTGTTGTTGTAAATTTTCCAACTTGTTATCATAGTTGGCTCGTAAATTTTCCAACTTGTTGTCATACTCGGCTTGCATTTTTGAAATGCTCTCCTGGAACTCTACGCGTGCAGCACGTGCTTCCTCATCAGATTTATTCGCATTATTAATTAGTTCAACTTTACTAGAAGAGGGCCCCCAAACATCGCTTGGTGTAGGCCCAAAGCCAAGCATCCGCACACGACCAGTTCTCTCTTCTCCCCTCACAATGGAGAACAAATCATTGGAACTGCCAATAGGCAAGTCAGAGTAACTTTTTTGAAGTTCTTTTATGTTTTCCTGCCAAAAAAAAAAAAAAAAAAGTTTAAACTACCATGACATACTGCTGTGAAACATCCAGACAAATCTAATGAAATGAATAATAGAACAGGAATCCAGAAACAGCGCTTTTCAAAAAAAACGCTGGTAATGTAATACCCCTAATTTCAAAAGGATATTATTGGCAATTAATTATTTTATTTTATTGTATTTTAGTTGTTTGTGTGTGCTTGAGTGTTTTTAATTAATTGTTTAAAGGTTTTTAAATTTCAATTTTGACTATTTGCTTGATTGTTTAGATGTTTAATTGTTTTAATTGAATTGTTGTTTTAATTGAATTATATGTTTAGGTGGCATTTGAATGTGTAATTAAATATGTTACTTTATTTATTTATCTTTAAAACGAGGTTAGGCTTGGATAGGATTAACGGACTGTTTGAATAATGTAAATGGGTACAGTTTTTACCCATGGAAGTATATACATGTATATATGGGTATATATGTATATAGGCTAATTTTAATTATTGGAATTTATTAATAATTAAATTGGTATTGTTTATCATAATTTAATATATGTTATAATTTTAGGGTTACGTGTATTTTCTCACGTTTTTCGCCGACTTAGATTATAACTTTTTTGGGTATTCTTTTCTTTCTAGGATTAAAATTAGCATTAGGGTTTTAGTTTTCTAAACCTATAAATATATCATTAGACGTCGGCTTAGGGCTAGGAAGCAATAAAACTTCATTCGCAAACACTCATTCACAAACAGAGAGTTATAGAGAGAAAGCAGAGAGGGAGATTGTAAGGAAAACAGAGGGTTGTGCCATTAGGGTTCGGCTGCGGATTAAAGGATGGAACTAGGAGAAGGGAAGGTGGAGCAATAGGAGATTGACAGCGAATTGGATGTCGTCGGAAAATCTAGGAAGACGGCGACAAGGTTTTTATTCAAAAACCATAGAGGCAAGTTTTTTCCTTCCTCTTTCCCGTTGGCTCATGTTCTGTGCACCTAGATAGTCTCTAGGGTTTAATTAATCAATAACTAGAAGTTACATGTTTAATAAATGCTATATGGATGATCTGTTTATGTTGAAATCCAATCTGTTACAGTTCATGCATGTCTCGTTTCAGTTTTCTATTCTTTAAGCATGTTATTTCTGTTGTAACTTTAGCCTTTATAATTTATTTCAACTACTGTAAATGAACCATGGGAATGTTACTAGGTGTTATAGGACTCTTGAGATGAGTTTTAGAAACCAATAGAGTGGTAGGAATGGTCCAGAGACGGAGCAGACGGACTGAAACGAAGCAGCAGGAGGCCGAAAGCTCTCGAAAGGGGTGAGAGCCGGCTCCATAGAAGTGGGAGCTGGCTCCCACACATGTAGAGTCGGCTCCAAGGGTATGGGAGCTGGCTTCAGGCTGATTAGAGCCTGCTCCCAAAGTTTTGGAGCAGGCTCAACCTTAAAACTCCTTCCCGAGGTTTGAACTGTTCTGAAAATTTTAGGACTTCACAGAGGGATAAAAGGGTTTATTTTGGGTGTTAGATCTTAGATTAATCATGGTTGGCCTCTAAGTCAGTGGGATGAAAAGTATTAAATTGATAAACTTTCTATACTGTTAACGGATGAAAGACAAATTAATTGCTTAATTAAACCTTAACAATTTAATGGCATTTAGGATGGTTATAAAATCTATTTTTAGATGTATAATAGGGTCATGTATCGATTAGACCTTGTCTATGCATAGGTTGGATCTTAATTAAGGAACTAGTAAATTCAGTTTCATTAATTAAATGGGGGTTGATATTTTAGTTGTTAAACTGTTCTGTCTGTTTTAGCAACTATGGATTAGAGCTGTGGATTTTCTAATTTATATTTTATCTTGTCTCAGATGTGTAAATTGAAACTTTTCTATTGTTGAGATGATTATCTGTTGGACTGTAATAAGGGTTGATTGAACTTTAAGTTAGATGAACTAAAGTATCAATGACAGGGATGGTTTATGGATTTTAACTTGATGAAACATTAAACTTTGTCTCATTAATTACATGGATGGAATTTGGGTGTTTAGTTGATGAAATTGTTTAAATTCTGTATTTATCAACTATATGGATTATGTTGATTTATTTGATGTACTGCTTAAACTGTTGCATCATTTACGGAACATATGAATGGCATGTATCGGTATGGGACAGTGACATACGGAGGGATGGATTAGATCAAAACGCTAATTCCAACCCAATCATACATACGGAATGGATTAACTAAAATAGTTAAATCCTACATGGATGAATGTCCTGTTAACTAAAACAGTTGAACGACATAACGGATGGTTGTTTATATTTTCTGTTAGAAGAATGGATAGGGATTTAATTAAAACATTTAAATTCGTAATTTTATGTCGTGTCATGGCAACAAACTGTTGAGCGGCACTACATTGGTTTGGATGGGAATTTATATATATAAATCATGGTACCGCGATCTGAGCTTGAGTATCATAGTCGACGGTTAGGGAGCGTATATGCAGTAGGATGCGTAGCTAGCTATGTTGGTTAAGGTATACCCTGTTAGGCTTTGGTAGTCATGCCCACTCAGATGTGTTTTTGCATGTTGCCTTCTATTCAGGTTGAGACCCTCAGCATAGCCTAGTGAGAGTCCTGTAGTGTGGTTATAAGTATATATCTATTTACGGACTATACAGATATGATTGAGATATCTAGGATGTATCTACGTATCGGGTCTCTATTTGGATTGTAGTTTGGATAGAACTTGTTCGTGGGCGTGACCCACTATTATTTTTCAAGTGTTGGACAGTTGCAGGTTTTAGAGCTTGTTCGTACTGAGCAGAGACGGTCACTCACCCATCCGACAACGTAGGAGTTTCTTCGAGTTTTAGCATCGGAGTTCTTCAGTTGTTGATTTCAGTGTTGGAGTTATTAGGGGTTCACCAAATGGATTCCCGAGTTATATTGGAAATGGAGAATTTAGATGTATCAGAATAATTCTTTATTAATAAAAATTTTATTCTGAGGTTTCGGTATTTAGGTTATCTTTTTAGTTTCTTTTCAGCAATTTATTCATTCCTGTTTTCTTAATTGTATTCTGTGTTCATTTATTGCTAATTGGTTTGATATCCTCGGGTAATCGGGTGTGGGCCTGGGTGTGATACCCCCGGATTTCCTAATGCAGGTTAGCCAGGCCCACGCCCGAATACCCGAGGATATCAAAAACAAAATCGCCAATAAACGACCACAAAGTACAAAAGAATAAAGAAGAATAAATAAAATGCTGACAAGAAACTAAAATGATAATCTAATAATAAACCTCAGAATATATTTCCATTAATTAATAAACTCTTCTGATACAACTGATCCTCCAAAATACAACTTAGGAATCCATACTGCGTGGACCCCTAAAAAATCCAAACTAAACAAATGACAACAATAATTGTCTAAATCGGGAAACTGAATCATAAAGGAACTCCTATATAGCATCGGAAGAATGAAGTAGACTGATCCCCGCTCAGCACGAATAACCTCTACTCCTGACGAACACCTGAAAAATAATGGTGGGTCAGGCCCACAAACAAGTTCTACTCTACTACAGTCCAAGCAGAGATCCGATACACGTATACATCCTAGTCAATCCAACAGTAACTAGTAGTCCGTATATATATATACATACACTAAAGGAACCTTACTAGACTATAGGGTTGTCTCAACCTGAATAGTAGGCAACATGCAAAATGCACATATCGTGGGCATGAGTACCTAGACCTACCAGGGTACACAACTACACTATATCTAGCTACACATCCCTGGCGATATACGCACCCTAACCACTGATCCTGAGACTCAAGCTCATATCATGGCACCATACTTATGTATATATATAATTTAGTAACCATCATATCCAGTATAAATTAATCCTCTATAAGTCATTCAACTTATTCAGCTGACCTAACTTGAATATAAGTAGGACTTAACATTTTAGTTAATCCATTCCCTTATATAATAAATTAATCATCTATAAGTCATTCAACTTGTTCAGCTGACCTGACTTGAATATAAGTAGGACTTAACATTTTAGTTAATCCATTCCCTTATATAATAAATTAATCCTCCATAAGTCATTCAACTTGTTCAGCTGACCTGACTTGAATATAAGTAGGACTTAACATTTTAGATAATCCATTCCCTTATATAAAATAGGTAGGACTTAACTGATAAGTTAATCCATCCCTAGAATGCCACCGTCCCATACTGGTGCATTAAACCACACGATCCAAAAATTGATGTAACAATTAAAGAAATACATCAAACATTTTAAAAATAACTATGATAATATGACATCAAGTTATCACATAATACGAATGACTTATTATTTATTTAAGTTTCCTATATCATATGTCTTACACAAACTGAATCTTATACATGATGATATTTTATTATATCGTCAAATAAGCATTCTCCATATCCAATTCATCCTACACATTTAATCTCAATTGCTAAAGCATTTTAAAAGATTAAATCCATTCGTTTGTTTAAAACATTCAAATAGCAAGCATCGTTATGATTGAGTGTATTTAAATTTATTTAAAGCCAAACCTAGTCCCTATTTAATGTTCAGGAATCCTATGCATGTTTCTATGTTCCATCATTCCACAGATATGAAAAATACATAATTCAAACATGTAAAAATTCACACCAGAAATCAAATCAAAATCATGTATTTATCAATTCATAACACAAGAACCGATATGAACCAATTTCATAAAAACCTATGTTTTAATCCAATTAAACATGCATAATTATTTAATTTCATGTGTTTAATAAATCCTGGAATTTCCTAGGCATGTACAGAAATAGAAGAAGAACTTGCCTTAAACTTTTGGATTGAAAGTTAAACTTCTTCTTCCTTGATCTTCTCTCTAAAGGGTTTTCTCCTCCTTCCTTCCTCTTCCTCCTTCTCTCTCTAACTCTCTCTCTCTAGAATATATTACGTGATATATTTTCACTCATTTTTCAACCTATAGT